TTAGAATTTGAGTTTTGCTACAGTAAAAAGCTCTCACAAACAATCACATCTAACTTTTTTGCTATAGTAAAAAGCTCTCACATGATTGTATGTGAGAGCTTTTTACTATAGCAAAAAAGTTAGATGTGATTGTTTGTGAGAGCTTTTTACTGTAGCAAAACTCGAATTCTAAACTCGAATCAGCGAAACGAACGAGGCCAAAAAAAGTTTGAACTCGAGTTACAATTTTATTTAAGTTCATGTTCTTTTGAAGAATTTGAGTTTGAACTCGAATTTGAACTCAAGTTTAGAGCTAAACTCGAGTTCAAGTTTTCGCTTCAACTCAAGTTCATAAATTCGAACTCAAATTAATGAACAGTATTTTTTATATTCTTAAAAATATCATATTTTTTTATATTCTTAAAAATATCATAATTTTTTCATTTTAATTCTGATTGACATGATTTTTTTTATGCATTAATAATGAAAAGACGAATAAAACCTCACTCATATACCCTATTAAAAATTTTCATCACCATTGAGTTTTTATTAAAATATTATCTAAATACAGATTTAAGTTTTGACTTAACCAAACACAAACTCAAAAAGATTCTTAATTTAAATTATAATTTAAATATACACATCTAAACACAAACTCAAATTATAATTTTAACTCAAGTTATAACTTAAACTTAACTCAAAATCATCACTCAAATCACTCTAACTCAAAAATGTAAAAGAACACCTTATTATCTTTTGTTGCGGTGCACTTCGATTCGAACAACGAAAGGTAAATGTTGGCGTTTCCCCTCGCCACCACAGAGATCCTCCCCACAATCCTCCGACTCCGTCACCACCTCAACCTTCCCTAGCACCGCCACCTTCACCGGCGGCCCCGTCCGACGGCTCTTTTCAGACCGCAGACGACCGGCTCCGTCCGACGGCTCTTTTCAGACCGCAGACGACGGTCTCTCTGTTTTTCCGTCAAGGAAAACGCCGCCCAGTGTAATGCGCCAACTGGGTATTTTGGAAAACTCCGATCCTTAATCCCAATCGCCATGTCCAGATCATTTTCTTGTACAACAGTCTTTTTTGTTTTGTGGTTTTATTTATTTATTTATTTCTTTTAATTAATTATTTATTTGTTTCTTTTTGTCGCTAAGTTCTTTACTTGAGTGCCCTGTTTTTGAATCGTTATTTTTGGTGTTTTATTGTTGATTAAGCTGAGGCAAATAGAAGTGATTTTGAAATCGGAATCAGACATAAAGTGGAGAATATCAATTGGGTTATTAGTTCATGATAATGTTGCAATAGAGTATTTATTATTTAATTCTCTCGGCAAGCAAACAGAGGAGTCTATTGAACTGGGTTTTGTTTGTTTCGGGCCTCATTCCTTATTTTACTTCTGAATGTATATTCTTTCTTGTCTTTAATCCAACTTGTAGAAGTATTTATAGCTCTAGTGAAAAAAAGGAGCTTTTTCTACATTTTTTTTTTCTCGTCTGAGAAAAATGGAAAATTCTGTGGTAGGTTGCCAAGAAAACCTTTCTGGTAACAGGTAAGACGCAGTTTTTAATTGTCATCAGATTAAGAAGATTATGATAGTTCAATGGAAATTGAAGAAATTCTATCGGTTCAAAACTATGCCTACAAAATAGGTTTTTTTTTTTTTTTTTTTTAACCAGTGAATTCTCTGATAGAAAGCTGTAACAAGACTTTCCAACATTTCCTGTGGAAGATTGTGACACCTGACGTTTTGTTTACCATTATGAGATGATAATAGCTTTCGGGTTTTTCTCATTTTCAAACATAGAGGTGATGAAATCTGCATGACTTGCATAACGGAATAATTTCAGTTTCTTATTATTGATGTGTATATTTCTCTGTTAAGTCCATTATAGCTTTATAAAAAAAATAATAAAAAAAAATTGTTTTTCTCTTAATTTTCAGATTTATGGGTAGCGGGAACGTGAGGAGGGCTGCACTAGCCTTCATTAGAAGTCCAAATTCAAGATGCTTCGAAGTAAATTGTTGACGAATCTGTCAAAATTCGTTGACTTGAAATCATGAAAATCACTCCATGATTTCCCTCGGATTCTCAGGGAAATCATTCCCTGATTTGTCTAGTCAATGATCGGATCCTTAGAGAAAGTTTCCTAGTATTTCAAGTCAATGCAAGCTGTATAGGTGGCTGTCATACCAGAATTAATTACCTGATTCTTTTGTAATTAAGAGTTTCCTAGTTTAGGCTATATACCAAATTAGACAATACCTTGTACTCTAAAAATAGTTGTAAATCTTCCTCAATGAAAATATACAGTGAGAACATTTGTTTGTTCATAAATAGTGATAGGATATATGATAGAGTTGGTGCCAGTAACTCCCTTTGCAGATTATTTTTGTACTACAAGCCTTCTTTGAGAGAATATTCTCTGTATAAAGCAAACAATAACTTGTTAAAAAGTGGCGGCTTTCGGAATTTCCATGGCCTTGCAACAAGTAATACAATATCTCACCATGCACAAATCACATGGAAGAGATGTTCTCAGCTATGTTCTTATGGTGGTCTGGCTTTGCCACCAATAGGTAGGATTGCTTGTGCGGTGAGCTTGGCTCTGACTCGTTCAAATCTCGTAGCACCGGGTATTATTGCCTTTGTAGTTGGAGAGTTTGCTTTGATGGAACGATCATGGGCGGAAGCAGAACAAATTCCTACAAGGGGTACTCTAAATCTCAATGCACAAGATGGACATGTACATTTAACCTCATTTTTGTTTTCACTTCTGGAATTTTTTATCTTGTTTCTCAGAGCAATTTATCTAGTGCTTTTGTTCTCGCCCTGCATTACTATGGCACCTTTCATCGAGTCTCTTGGCATTCAGTACAGGAAGATATGGCTTTCTCTTGTACATCATAGACTGGAGAAGGCGGGCCCCGCGTTTATTAAATGGGGTCAGTGGGCTGCAACTAGACCGGATCTCTTCCCAAGGGATTTGTGCAGTGAGCTCGCTAAGCTTCATACAAAGGCATCAGCTCATAGTTTCTCGTTCTCCAAAAAGAGTATCAAAAGCGCATTTGGTTGCAAGCTGCCTGAGATTTTCGATTTGTTTGAAGAGCAACGTGTGGCATCAGGAAGTGTTGCCCAAGTTCATCAAGCAACATTAAAATACAGGTGTCCTGGTCAACAGATCAAGCCCATCGTAGTTGCTGTGAAAGTTCGACACCCAGGTGCTGGTGAAGCAATTAGAAGGGACTTTGCAATTATTAATTGTGTAGCGAAAATCTCATAGTTTATCCCTGCGTTGAATTGGTTGAGATTAGATGAAAGCATACAACAGTTTGCTGTTTTCATGATGTCTCAAGTTGATCTGTCAAGGGAAGCTGCCCATTTAAGTCGTTTTATATATAACTTTAGTAGATGGAAAGATGTTTCATTCCCTATGCCTTTGTATCCCCCGGTTCACCCATCTGTTTTAGTGGAAACTTATGAACAAGGTGAAAGTGTAATGCACTATGTTGATGAACTTGAAGGACACGAGAAGATTAAAACGGCCCTTGCACATATTGGAAGCCATGCACTTTTAAAGATGCTCTTGGTGAGTGTCATTTTCACTTCTTTGTGTTATACACTGTCTTAATACATTAGTAAATTTGCGTAGTCTTTTTTTTTTTTGTATGTGTGTAGTGAATCGAGGTTTATAGCATTCTCTCCCTATGCACCTACAGAACCTATTATAGGAGTTCGTAATTCTTGAATTAGTTATGCAGGTGATTGAATAAAAGAGATTCCTACTCAGGGGAGACTGGATTAATCTATTCTGATTGTTGATGGCTGGATGTTGCATTAATGGTTGTTACTTGATAAAATTTTGAGTTTTCTACCTTTATCTGGTCTGTTAGAATTGTTTCTCTCTTGCTCTCTCTTTTTTTTATATAGCAGTTGACTGTATTTACCTGAGAGAGGAATCTGGTTTTTCAGGTGGATAATTTCGTTCACGCAGACATGCATCCTGGAAATATTCTTGTCCGAGTAACAAAGGGCATATCATCACCTGAACGGCTCTTCAAGTCCAGGCCTCATGTCATTTTCCTTGATGTAGGCATGACTGCTGAACTTTCAAAGAGAGATCGAGTGAATTTACTAGAATTCTTTAAGGCCGTTGCCCTTCGAGATGGTTGAACTGCAGCTGAGTGCACACTTAGATTGTCTAAACGGCAGAATTGCCCAAATCCAAAGACTCTTATTGAGGTAATGCATTTGTTATCTGGTTTCTGCAGCAGCAGTAATACTTTAGCCTTTGCTATGAAAAACTTAAAGGCTACCAAGGTTAACGCAAATATTTTTGGTAGTCGCGAATGCATATATACTTTTTCCACAGTGATCTGGGTTCTTTATTTTAACACTTTATCACTACTTCATGTTGATGTTTAATTTGAGGATTCAATTTTTCTTGTAATGTCTCATATAAATCATGTGCAAATTTGGTTCTAGTTGCATGGTGTTCTCAATGAGAGTGACCGTTTTTGTTAATGTCCAAGGATGTGGAGCGACTCAAATATTTTATTCTCTTCATACTTGTCGTTTGAATAAGTGTCTGGAATAATTAGGGTCAATATACATTCTGCCCATAATTTCTTAGAAACATAAAATGAATGGTGAATCACTGACTCCCATGTGATGAAAATACTCAATCCAAGCACGAGGTTCTGTGATGGACAAATTGTTTTGCTATGTATGTATGTGCATGCTATGATCTAAAATTAGCACGCAAGAATCTTGCATTTAGTGTTAGCACATACTATGACCTTAACACTAAATCAATAATCTTGCATTTAGTTTTCACCTTTTCGTTTAAAAAACCCAAAAAACTGTTTAAACAAACGATACCAAACACACCCTAAGTTTTCTGAGTTTCTAAGTCCCCAGAATATGACCTTAACCTTAGCTATAATTGTATCCAATTTTGATTTGGGGAAGTTCCTGTCTTTTCTTTCAAATTAGTAACTGCTGCTGTGTAATTCTTTTCCCTTCTGGGTCAATAAAGCATGCCCTCCTTTTAATATCGAGCAATTACTTGTGAAGTTAATTGGCTGCAGGAAGTCGAAAAAGCGTTCAAGTACTGGGACTCCCCGCAAGGTGAATTGGTGAGCCCCGGTGACTGCATGAAGCAATTGCTCGAGCAAGTTAGACGACATAAAGTCAACATTGATGGTAATGTTTGCACCGTGATGGTAACCACTTTGGTTCTTGAGGTAAGCGGCGGTTTTTCTCCCTAGTCCTTCAATCAGTCAATCACTTTGCAATACTCAGACCTAATCTCGGTTCAATGTTATATAAAATCAACCATCCGAACCAATTATCCTACACAAAGAAGGCGAACCTTTGAGCTATATGTCACTAGTTCCTGATTTCTTTGCTCATATGAACATTTGGTGTCATTTTCTCACAATCAGTTCCTGTTTTGAATTCAAGGAATGATGAATCTGCATATATTCCCACCATCCCGATCCTGAAACTTACCATGTCTCTTTTTTTATTTCCTGCTTCCGCAAAAGTGAATTGTTGTTTTTTAAGAAAACAATCTGCCCTGCCTTTCTGAATTACATATTATATGAGCTATTCACAGTAGGAGAAACCCATAAACTTTTCAGTAAAGAGATTTTCACCACATTCATTTTTGGAAATGGGATTATCGAAACACCAGGAAACAAACAAGGTCTCTTAGTATTTCTTTTCAGCATGAATATGATGGTTTCGCCATTTTTTTAGTGTTTCTTAATTGAATCTGGTTCTACAGATTTGGACCAAATCTTTTTCTGGTTTTCCTGAATTTTTTAATTTTGTTCTCTCTTAGGGGTGGCAGCAGAAACTTGATCCAGAGTACGATGTGATGCACACTTTGAGAACATTGCTATTTAAGGTTAACTGGGCAGAATCTTTCTTTTACACCATTGAAGGACTCATGGCGCCATAAAAGGTGCCGTGATCTCTCTCTCTCTCTCTTAATTGAAGAAAAACGGAACAAAGGACCTCTTTTGACAATTACAGACTGATCAGAAGATGGTAAAGAGAAGGATACATACATATAAATGAATTATACTGTTTGTCATATTAATAAACCTTCGCAATGGCGAATTTTGCTTCCATCTTCCGTCTTACTTATTAATGAATTTGTCGATTGTTATCATTTTTTATACATAATTTCTAACATAAAAGTGATGGATTCTAACTGAAGAAAAATTGACTCAGAATTCTCGTTTGGTGTTCATTTTGTTTTATGCAGAGTTTCTATTTGATTTATTATACACATATATATACATATATATACATACATATATATATATATATATATATTGTTGAATCAGGCGGGTTTTTTCTTATTAGCGACCACAATCATGTTTGTCTCGCATCTCTGATTTTGAAAAATGACTCCAGCTTGATTCATTGGTCTTTAAATCAATCTATTTGGTTACCAGAGTTCCAGAAATTTTAAAAAGAACACATCGGATTAACTTCATAAATGCCCCTAAATTTGTATATGTTTCAACATGTCCCCCTGAATATTGAAAAGGGTTCATTTCGCTCACAAAGTTATGTACTCTAGTTCAAAATACTCTTTATTTTTGTAAAACCAACAAAATGACAACGTAGCGCTAGTAATACTTTTATAAATGCCCCTCAAACTATTGATTTTACGTCAGTATGGCCCTTGAATTATTATTGTTATGTCAATTTGTCCCCTGATTTTTAAAAGATCGGAGGCATGTTGATGCAAAATTAATAGTTTATGAGGCATTTATGAAAAATATTAGTTCAAGGGGTGTTTTGCACCATTTTTCATGCTTTAGGACGGTGAAATGAGCCGTGTTTAAGTCCATTCTTACCTATATACATTGAGCGTTTTGTATGTCAAAGCAAAACACATTTTCCGTCAGAAAGATTAATCTTCTGCCTCATAGCTTAGTATCAAGAAACATACACTATCATTGTAGTAAGAACAATGTTAGTATCTTCAGATGTAATTTCAGAGACAACACATCTCTACTGGTGCTTGAAAGTACATATAAATTGAAAAGCAAAAACCAACTTCTTTGAAGTAAAAACAAAAGCAACAATGAAAACAAGAAACTTTGAGAACTTGTGCAGGGTAGTCTTACATAGTGCTGGACTTTAGACGGGTCACCCACGACCGCTCGAGAAAACCGAACTTGTACCCATTGTCTGAGCCTGTCAGCCTGAAAAATTTGGGCTGCCCCTGAGCCCGAACTTCACCTTGAACAGGCTTCGGGTAGGTCTTGGCTGCTCGAAGCCCAGTCGGGCAGTCCGAGCTCGCCTGGGCTCCCCTAATATTTAATATATATTTTTTATATTTTTTTATATTTTTTTATATTTTGTTTTATTTTTTTATAATATTGTATATATATTATATATAATATTGTTTATTAATTGTATTTGTATATAAATAATTATTAAGTTATTTATTGTAAAAATTATATAAAAACTATAATTAAGATTAAAATCAACACACTATTAACACAAATCAATTCAAAAAATTAATTTTGTTTATTAATTTTTAAATTTGTAATTCATGATTGCCTCGTTAAAAACCTTACCAAGAAAAACCCAATTGGGATAAAAACTTGGTAAGGAAAAAAGAGTGCAATCGTTTTGTGACGAATTACAAATTTTATAAAATTACAAAGTCTAAATATTACAATTACAATGTCAAAAGTAAATAAATATTTAGAAATTACAATTTAATTTGAAGCTGAAGGATCGTCTTCAAAGCGAAATGTTAATCTATTAAATTCATCTATCCATTCTTGGCTTGCTGGCGAAATTGTATCTTGTAAACGTTGATCGGCACGATCCCAATCCTTAATGCACACCAAAGCTTCAACAATATCCCTTTGTAATGTGTTTCGGTGTTCTTCAAGTATTCGTCCGGTCGTACTGAAGGCTTGTTCGGATGAAACAGTGGAGACTGGGATCGAAAAAATATCCATTGCCAATCGAGTTAGGACTGGCCAAGTTAATGCTCGTGCCGTCCACCACTGAACTAAATTAAACAATTCTCCACTATTGTCGACTACTAAGCTCTCGCTAAGGTACGCCATAAGCTCGTTGAAGCTGCTGCCGCCGCCGCCGCCACCACCTCTTGATGAAGATCCACTCCCAGCTTCTGTTTGAGTCTTCTTCTTCTTCAACCAGAAAACATTCATGAATGAATGTGGATTTTCATCTCTTTGTTGCGGCTTCTGTACTTCACAAGCGGTGTTTCTAAACCTATTCTCATAAACACTATAAAGAGAAAATATTTTTTCCTTTATTTTAGGAAATTGATCAGAACAATCGATGTTTAAAAATTCACCTAAGTTTTCTAAACCACTTTCTAAACCTTCTAATTTTAATCTAGGATCAAAAATAGTACCGAAACCATACAACATTGGTAATTTAGACCAATATTTTTTAAATTTTTTTTCCATAGAAGCGATAGGAACTTCTAAGATTGGGTTCTTCCTAAATTCACTAAATAAAATACTAATTCTTAAAAGTTCACCAAAAGCTAAAGGTGATGTTGGGTAATATACTCCACTAAGTTTTAAAGTGACTTCATGAAACCTACCTAAAAATTTATACAAAGTTTCAGCAATTTGCCAATCATATTCGTCTATATGTCCTACTCCTAATTTTACACTAATATAGTTTGTTATAGCATCCTTATAGGGAAGACATTGTTGAAGCATTATATAAGTTGAGTTCCATCTTACAGGCATATCTAGGGCTAATGCTCTAGGAGTTAGATTTAGTGCTTGTAAGAACCTAAACCAATCTTGTTCTCTTTGGTTATTGCCATGAATCCATGCAATACTATTTCTAATTGCTTTTATATGAATAGCCATTGATTTTAAACCGGATTTTACTACTAAATTAATTACATGGCATGCACAACGCTGGTGAAATATAGTACCATCACCGAATAAACTTAAATCATTTTCAAAATATTCAATGGCTTTAGTATTTGCACTAGCATTATCTAATGTTATAGCCATTACTTTATCCCTTAATCTATATTCATCAATGACATTTAAAATTGTATTATATATTAGATCGGCGCTATGTGATCCTAGAACACATTTAAAACCTAATATTCTTTTATCTAAATCGAAGCCTTCGAAGTAATGTCCGGTTACAGATAAATAATCTTTGTTGGCAACGGCAGACCATATATCTGCCGTTAACGCAACGCAACCGTTAGTAGAGTGTAAAAGGTTGATTAATGCTTCTTTTTCTTGTTTAAATAATTTTAACAAATCTTTCCTAAGAGTAGTTTTTGAAAAAAACTGTGCATTAGGATTGTGTACACTTTTAATATAACGGTGCCAATTAGGATGCTCGACAAAACTAAGTGGTTGATCTAATGATGCTATCATTCGCGCAACTTCCATACGATCTACTTGCGGATCGTATTTCCAAGTGGTTAGACCACCGGTTGCGCGATCAAATGATAATTGTGTTTGGTGGAATTCAGCTCCGCCGGTTTGGCCACGCTTTTGAAGACACTTTTCTAAGTGTCTTATCAAGTGTGTTGTGCTGTGAATAGTGTCACCTTGTAAATTAGAATGGCAATATTTACATTGAGCTATGTATTTAATGTTACCGTCATTGTCGGCCTCCTCTAGGATGTCGAAGTGCTCCCAAACTGAGGAGGTGCGCTTGCATTTCCTCTTGGAGGTTGCAACACTTGCAGTAGAACTTGCCTCTCCACGCCCACCATTGCGACCACGACCTCTACTAGATCCACCACGGCCGGGATTTAGAATTGGACATTGTTCCTCGGGTGCTTGTGTTTGCGATTCCTGCATAGTATAAACATTAGTAGGAATTGGACTTTGGGGATCCACGGGATTACCACCATAACCAATAGAATCCATTATATAAATAAAATTAAAATTGAAGGTGGAAAAAAACACAAAAAATAAACAATGAGCTTGAGAGAGCTTGTAGTTGAAAAGAGCTTTGAGACTTCAAATGAGAGCACTTTGAGAGAGAGAGCTTTATGATTTTGTGTGAGCTTGTGAAAAAATTGTGAGAGAGATTTGAGAGAAAAGTGAGATAGATTAAGAGAGATTGAGAGAAAATGTGAGAAATTTTGTGAAGAAAATGTTTGGGAGAGAGGAGGTATTTATAGGAAAATTTTTGGGTTAAAAAAATCAATTTTTTGAGTGAAAATTCGAGTGCAACGGCTAGTTTTTGTTTTTGCGGGTCGGGCTTCGGGCGGGCGGGTCGGGCTTCGGGCTTCGGGCAACGCACAAAATATAGCCGTTATATTCGGGCTTCGGGCGGGCGGGGTCGGGCTTCGGGCAACGGCACAAAATATAGCCGTTATATTTGGGCTTCGGGCGGTCGGGTCGGGTCGGGCATAACAGTAAAAAAAATAAAAAAATAAAAAAAAAAACATTTAGCCGTTGGGCAGGCTTGGAGCAGGCGCACAGCCCAAATTCCAACTTTTACAATATAAACTAAACGTTGCAGACACTTCATGAAGTCCAATTCCCCGAGCTTGTGGACTGGGGAATGCTGAACTTTTCACTAATTTCGGCCTTCGTATGGTTGCATACTAAGCACAAATTCCTTCAGTATGTCAGAAAACTTGAGATCTTTGAGGTTCTTAGGTGCTGGACCAAAGAATAGTTGTTTAAGAAGAGGCAATGCTACGCTGTCTATTCTAACAATGCTTTGCAGATGCTCTCCCTCGTATGCCTGGAAGAGTCAAAGGGACACCAAATTTGGCAAAATGTGGCGCCTTTTCAGTGGATCATCGGCTAATCCCGAGAAATATAATCACCGGATTAAGACAAAGTACTGCAAGAAAGGAGGTGGAAATGAATTTACTTGTAAATCTAAGAATTTCATTCTCACTAATTAAGTTACGAGTACAACATTTAAGCCTTGAAGGCGTTTCATCTTCTCAATTGAGGTGCGAATATCGCTCGCCGTGTCTGCAATCAATTTTGGAATGGCCGACGGCCTCAACAAGCTGAACTTCCCCAGCTCTTTCACGAGACAATTTCCATTTGCTTTTGCACGTCTGTGATGGCCTGCAAGTTCTCTAAACACCATATCCCCTCCTT